AACTGCTAGAAGAAGTATGGACAGGAAAAGAACTCTCACTTGAGAACTTTTGGTTGTATTGCGTATGTTCACATTGATCCAGAGAAGAGAGACAAGCTTGATGTTAAGGCTGTGAAATGCTACTTCATAGGCTATGACTCTGACATGTTCGGGTACAGGCTTTGGGATGATAAGAATAGGAAAATCCTAAGACACTACGATGTGACCTTTGATGAAAATGTCCTGTACAAGGACAAAGAGAACATAAACTTTGAGACTACAAAGCAAGTGAGAGTTGAGCTTGAGTAGTAAGAAAACTCACCCAGTGATGTTACAGCAGAAGCTCAAGAAACTCTTTAGTTCCTCCGTTGCTGGGACGCATGGCCGTCCTTGCATAGCAACTCCACCATCTGTTGATTTGGAAAAGCTATCTACTAGACCGCTATTAACTAATCCAAAATCTTGGCTAATCTGGAGTCCTATATTAGCCTAAGGGAAGATACCATGATTTATTATGATATGTTATGTTAGTCCCCGATATGCTATGACATGTTATGATATGTTTTTAAAATAAAAAAATCACTCACAATCCCAATGTCATGACTTGAAAGTTAGGTTATGCATAAAATGATTTTATGTATGCATATTATCAAGTGTAATATGTGATGAAAGAATGAGGGTTGCATTACGTGATTTATTATGCCATGATGGAAAATATGGGGACCTCTATATTATCCCCTATAATTGTACGTTGTCTTGCATATGATAGCGGTTCTATTTCAAAAGGAAAATAGGGTCGTTACAAAAATAATGTCATAAACTTATATGCTCATAACAAATCGTTAAAACATGTACAGGGAAAAGCAAACCATGTGAAACCTAGATAAAAGAAAGAGAAATTGAAACTGTGATCTAATCTAAGGGCTACAAATAACAATAATGTTTCTATCCTAGTTTCAGTGCAGATGTGCCTTATCTTTATCTGAAAAATAAGAGTAGCACGTGGTTTGAGTATTTTAAGATATACTCTGTAAGTAATCTCACTGTTGAGGTCGAGAAATGAAAACACATGCAACATGGTGGGACCTATTCTTTTAACATATCATAACACGACCTTTGGCAGCTTTCTAGTTAGGTAAGATTGGAGGTGTAATGTTTCTCTATAAATCGCTGACGCGTGCGAGCATGGACTCATCAGGTGGGCTCGCACACCCTCTAGGCCTGACTCGTTGATTGCTTGTGGATATATATAATAAAATGATGTAAAATTCACAAAAACAAGTGCAAGTATACACTATCACAAGTAGAAATAATAAGTAAATTATTGATTCCAAAGTAGAAGTAATAAGTAAATTATTGATTCCAAAGAAGACCTATCTTTTTGGTAAATTTTATGGTTGTAAATAAAGTAAATTTTTTAACAACATTCAAATGAGGGTATGATTTTATCTAATTAAACAAACTAATGCAGAGTGTCTCTTCCGTAGAAAAACAAAAAATGATGAGAAAATCAACTATAATGAGGAAGGTTCGGCTAACAGAAATTAAATAAGTGGTTGAGTTTTTGTGATAGATTTTAGTTCCTTCTAACAGACTCTCAACCCCACTTTCGAGGTCATGCATAGTGATTACTTCCACAATCGTTTTTTTTTTATAAGAGAAGAATTATTTATAACCCTTCTATTACCTTCAAGTTTCGTTGCAATGGAACTAGAGTATTAGAGAGGATTTCATTGCTCACTCTCTTCTCCTGAATGAGAGAACAACTATGTATGTAAAATAGTTAATTAAACACACATGTAAATCATTAACAACAGCTGGATTAGGGTTTTCTCCTTCTTCTCTGCTGTTGCTGTCTAATCCGAAAAATAATCTTGTCCAAAGGTGTGGCTCCCCTCCTTTTTCAGCTATCCTTTTCCTTTTATAATGTTTTTTTCTTCTCATTTAGGGCTGAGAAAGGATAAAACCATCTCCCCATAATATTTCTAATTGGTAATCAATGACCCACATGGACCAGTAACGTGGATTAAAATTTCCATGTCATTCTAAAAAGTTTGCTCTCCAAATTGCTTCAGCATCACGGTCAACAATTTATTTCCAGATTTGCTACAACATCATGTTTAACCTAAATATTCTGAAATTTTACCAAATAACTTAATTAAATGTACAATTAAACTCATTTATGCAAATTGATTTTCTTTTCATATTAAACCATAATGGACTGTTTCATGCTTGCTAATTAGAATAAATTGAGTAATTAATGAGAAAATGGTGAGTAAGAGTGCAAAATTAAGTACAAAAAAGACTTGATATAACTCTACTTTTGGAGAGTTATCACTTGTCAAGCTACCACTCACTAACAGATTCTTGCCGAACACCACGAAGCGAAATGACCCACATAACATCATGACGAACATAAATGTCAAAAATCATAAGTCGTAAGGTACGCATCCATATTCATCATATTCGGGAAGTATCCTTCTACATCCTCAATATAAGTAGTCAACATTTTTATTCATTAATTTGCTTGGTTTTCATGATTTTATCGAGATGGATGATGTCAACAATTAGACCAACCTGTCCCAAAAAATTGAAACTTTAACTTCTGCTAAGTAGTGGTTTTTTCATTCCAAATTTCTAATTTCGTGCTACACAATAAAAAATGAAAATTCCAGGGCTACTCAGCATTCTGATAAATTACGTATGGCATTATTTATATATAAAAGACCTAATCACCCTCAGAAATTTTGATAGCTGAAGAGCTTCTTCGAATTTTAGTTACGATCTTTAGAATATCTTTTAAAATTTCTTTCGAGTTCATAGAATAAATTCTTCTTTTAAATAACCTCTCTCCAATTTTGGTGACCATCTTTAGATTTAGCGTTTCCATTAACAATGTTGATGTGATATTTTTATTAAAATGGACATGTTAATAAAGGCTTATTTAATGGTATTAATAGTAAATGGAAAATTCCAATAACATTAAAAAATAATAAAATCTACCATTTATTGTGATTATTATTATTTCTATAATGTCTTCATAGCCATAGAAAAAGGCAAGTAAGATGAGAAATTAAAACTCCTATGAATGAGAAAAGGAGATGGAAATTGTATTTTTTTGATCCAATATGCTTTTTTTCCATTCTTAGTCATAGGTCACAAAAGCATATACTAAAACAAAAATAATTTTGACATCAAAAGTTAAAAAGGCAATAGCAATGACTCGACACACGTGAAAAGCATATTCATCAAACAGCATATACCTAAATCATTTATCTGTTCATCTCGACCGATAAGAATGTGAGGGAAAAAAAAAAACTTTAAAGTACAAGAACTAAATTTTAATAAAAGAAAGTACATGATTGAAATGGAACAAACCCTCGAGTACAGAAACAAAAATGGTATTTTAACCTAACGAAAGTAATATTGTGTGTTTTTTTTTTTTTGAATGGTTTAGATCGACCCAATTAATGTTTTTAAATTAGGTTTCGGGTTCAAGCTCCTACATGTAGTGGTATAGACTCTTTTTCTTCAGAAGTCCTAGTGCGGTTTTCTACAGAAATATTAAGATATTAGAGAGCGAAAAAAAACTTTTCAGAACTGTCCTAAAATATGAGCAAAACACTGCTAACAGTACCCTAAAAATCAGCCGAGGGCGAAACCATTTTCGAGTATTGACTATCGACCATAAGTGGCAAATTACATTCACTATCTCACTATCTCAATAGATAGAATTGCTGGTAACCTTTCATATAAAAAAGATATTTTAACCTATTCAATAAAAGGAATACCGTTACATTTATAGTCTCGAGTCACGGTGATGTTTGTCCAAGACGTGTTGCCTATGGTTGCATGCTCATTTCAAATCCCTTTTTCATGCTTTCATCTTAGATAAGCCTTTACCATTTCATATCGGGTCAATATGGGGGGTGTATAACCGTTCACCAGAATCACGTCTACACCCACTTGGACAAAAATGCCCGAAAATGTACTATAGGGAGATATGACTAGTTGTCAATTTCTCCCTACCTGATAGTTATATGCAGTAAGTTCAGCCTTTTACTTACATTTCTATATAACACCAATTTCAATTTCTCGAATCTTGTTTTCAAAACTTTCTTTCGAAATCTCTCTACTCCCGTTTTCTAAAACTTTCTTCTTGAACCAGGGTTAGAAGCTCGAGCATAAATCGCTTGGTCGTAAGCGACAGAAGAACGAATAGACTTAATTCACTTGTTGCTGGGAAATAAGTGTCGTACAATCGTAAGTTCACTGACATCTAAATGCGATTGCAGTGAAGAGGAGATTGGGATTATTGTGTTAATTATTGGTCTCTTGCCGACGGTAAGAAAAAATATCATTCCATTTGCTATTTTTTTCTCTTGTCCCCATCAACCACTTTGTCTACCCACCAACCCAACAACAAAAGATAAGCTCATTTTCCTCCTTCAACCAATTTTCTTCATCTTATCTTTTTTTTTTTTTTTCTTTTCAAATCACTCGATTACAATACGTTCAAATAGTATTTACCGCTTACCCAATCGTTATCATCATTCACTCGGTCAACTAACGAAATAATCATCCACGTTTCGAGTTCTAGTAGCTCCATTTTGTACTGTTGTCTAATATATATGTTTATGTACGGTTATTTTCATCAACGTTTTAGGTATTATTATACTTTTTATATTAATTATGTGAATAGTCGAATTTGTTGTCGGTGATTTAACAACTCTAGCCGACACACGATACAAGCTGAATCTGTCATTTTTATTAATAATGAACCATTTTATAAAACTTAATCACTAAAAAGTGAGCTTTATACAACTGGCAATTTAGATTGATAATGACAATATGACTTAATATCATCATTTATTACGTAAATCGACCATTGCTCCAAAAAAAGTCTCACTATTTTTATTCATCCCATATTTCTATTATAACCTAAAGAACACATATATATAGAAAAAGAAAAAAAAAACAAATTTATTCTGAAAAGTATGTAATATAGACACAATAGAATATAATCACAATTATAACAATATATATCTTTGGCCATCTTTATAATAATGTTCATATACCCTCGTAGTTTGATGTGGTCCATATTATTTGCCAAGAGCATAATCTAAGAAATGAGATTGTACACGTGTCATTTCTGCCACATCCTAAAAATAAAAATGAAAAAAAATAATTTTTAATTATTTAAATACACTTGAAAATATAGTAAAATATATATATAGTAAGTATATTAGTTAGTAGATAATCCAGCTGAAAACGACACTCCAGTAGAAGGCAACCAGGAGGAGCCATAAATAAACTGTCCGACAGTAAATTTGGTGGCTTCTATAGCAGAAGTTATTACTCGATAACCTGGCCATTTAACCCTCTGCCCTACAGCGGCACCCGGCCCAGAATTCATATATTCACCGTAGTAAAGAGTGTCAAGAGCAAAAGAGCCTTGCCATTCGAGCCAACCGCGAGGATGAATATGGTCTCCCATAGAAGATACCATGTAGACGACTCTAGAATATAACTTCCAAGGGCGGCCGAGGTAGGTGGGGAAAGATCCCTTGGAGGCTTGGAGGTCACCAGTGGCGATGATTTTACAAGCGTGGATAGAGATTCCAGTGTTTTGGTTTGGATCTTTTCGGTCTTGAGCTGTGATGGTATTCTTTTGTCCTGACATTGGCTTACGAGCATAGATGTTGCAACTTTGGAAGACGACGACAGCATTACCAAAGATGAAGTCAATCGTGCCGTAAATATCGCACTCTCGAAAGAACTGACGATTTGAGTGGACATAGAGAGTATCTTGATAACCGATAACGTTGGAACGAAATACCACAGCGTGGTCTGCACTCAAACGTAGTGCCACTGCTTGGTGCTTGTTTGGCCCTGCCGTGTTCTCAAATGTCATGTCTCGTAGAATTAGTCCTGTCCCAGAGCCCGCTGCAAAAAAAAAAAAAAAAAAAAATATATATATATATATATAGGAACGGTGGGCGTTTTTCATATGATTATTTGGATAAATCAAACAATTATTTTTTATAGCCCATTAATGCTGCAAAAGTAGCTTAATTTGTTGCTATCTTTAAATCTATAATAATTTCCTTTCTTATTAAAAAATATATATATATACATACATACATATATATATATATATACATACATACATACATATATACATATATATATATATAGCTTCCGATTTATCTAAAAATGATAAAGTGAAGAAGAGGTCCTTATTTTTTTTTCCAAAATTTATAATAATATTTTCCCCAAAATAAATTTAAAATGTTTTATTTAAATTAGATCCTAAAATTTTGAATTTATTTCATTGAATTAAAAAAATTAAGTGAAAAAACATTTTTTATTCTCGAAATTTTATTTTAGTAACATTTAGATTCGTTTTTCTTTCATTAAAAGAAAAGTTAATTTAAAAAAAATTAACTAAAAATTTAAATATTTCTTAAAATCTATAATAAAAAAAAAAGAAAAAAAAAGAAAAAGAAAAAGTGGTGGCCATATTTGGACCAGACGACCATAATTCTGAGTCCTAGATATCCGGTGTCAGAATTGGAAGCCTTAATTTCGTGACACGTATCAATATATTTATTTTATTTATTTATATAAAAAGAATATTAAAAAAAAAAGGTTTTTGGAATAAAATTGTAAAGGAAAAAAAAAAAGTGTGAGAGTATATACCAAAGGTGGCGGTCCGGAAAGTGGTAACTTTGTCATAAACGCTTTTACCACCTGAAATGACGGTTATGCCCTTCCCATCTCCCACAAACATCAAGTTTGTTTTCTTCCTTCCTACCTTCAAATTCTCCTCTTCGTACCTGCAAAATTACATTAATCTCCCTTCTTAGTCCCATCCCATTTCCAATTATTTCCTAACTTAAAAATAAATAAATAAATAAATCTCGACGTTAAATACCATGACTCGCGTGATCGATCCATTGCTGTACCGACCACTATTTTAAATTATTTATATGTTCGGCTTCGGTCGGTATAATTAATATTTGTTGTAAATTAATTAATTAATTAATTAATTTTTAGTTGTTGTTATTATTATTATTATGAGGCAACTAAATTGAAAAGGACTTAAAATATGAGGGGACATTTTATATTGTTTTTATTGTGTAATTATTATTATGAAAACTATGGACTATAGGAATTGGTAAATTACAGCTTTGAATGATTACGACACTGAAGTCAATAAATTTAATGAGGAAAAAGTTGTTAAAAAAAATGGAATTAATTAATAATCATTCAAAATTTTGAAATAAAAAAGAGAAAATATTGTTCTTACTTTCCGGCTTTAATGTAGATCACGATCCGGCGGCCACTGGATGAAGGAGCCGCCGCAATGGCCTCCGCCACTGTCTTGAATTTGCCACTACCATCCTTAGCCACCACGATATCCGCCTGAATTGACGATATGGGAGCAGCCAAAAGGCGGCGATCTTTCCCACTCACCCACCGGGGAAAATCCCCATCACCATTATTCTCCTCGGCTAACCACTGTTCATCACTTTCCATTAGCCGGCGGCGGCGGCGGTTCTCCACCGGCAAATCGTCACCACCAAACCCAGAAAAAATGGCTAAAGAGTTACTTATCATCTCCGACAAATCACTCAATTTGGCCGTTATCTGATCCTTGATTGGGTCAGCCACATCAGAAAATCCATCCGTACACGTGTCATGGTAAGTCAACGCTGCACTCAGCCACGTCATCACGTCGTGGTTGGTGGCGGTTGTGGAGAAGAGAGAGAGGGAAAAAGCTTCAACGGCGTCGTTTAGAAGCTCCATACAGTCTTCATAAGCGGATTGGGCAAGAGGGTCGTTGGAGATTTGGGAGATGGGGATTTGTGAAGTGGAATAGAGAGCTTTGGTGAGATGCTGGAGAGTTAGGTTGAGAGAGATATGGACGAGGTCGTGGACGTCGGCAGAGAGAGAACCGGGGGCAGAGAGAAGGGAGGAGAGGCAAAGAGAAGGGTAGAGAGTGAGGCTGCAAGCCCGGGAGATGGCTTGGGTGGGCTTGTTGTGGGGGAAATGCGACTCCGTGGAGGCGGCGATGCGAGAGTGGACGAGAACGACAGCCGAGACGGCGGAGGCAGTGATGAGAAGGATGGAGAAGAAGGAGATGAGAAGGATACGGCGGCGGGAGGAGGATGGTGAAGGTGGCGGTAGGGGATCGGAGTGATCATTGGAAACACGAAAGCTGGAGGCCGGAGTGTCGCCGGAGTGGGAGGAGTGGAGCATATTGTAGTTGTTGTTCATGGTTGAGGGATGTAATAATAATGATAGTGAGAAGATGAAGAATGGGAGTGAGTTTAAATAAAGGGAAGGGGAGAAAGGGTTGGTCGGAGGTCTATGTCGAGAGGGAATAGCTGGAGGGCTGTTTGGGGATGAAGGCATGACATGAAGCATAAGGGGAGGACATGGTATCTTCTACACTCTTTTTTCTTTGCCACTATGTTTCAAATGTGGGGCTCCCCTTTATTTTCCTTCTAAATCTTTCGATGTGTCAATACGTGTGTGGGGATGCCTTCTTTATTATTCTAGCATATGCTACTTAGGGCACCTCGAACATAATTCAATGGGTTACGATATACTATCATTTAAGGATAGATTAGAGGTTTGAATCTCTCACTCTCCTACGGTATTGATTTGTCCAAACTTCTAGCTATTGTAACAAGAATGTTGAGAAATTAACCGTACAAGTGAGTTTTAAACTAGTTATCCCTATTGCTCGACAATTTAGACTTTCATTTGAAAGTGTCGTTAAGTAGATGAATCATAACGTCTTAGATATTTCGACTCAAATAATCTTGTATATTTGATGACCTGAAATTTTCTATTTAATCTAAGGTCGTTACTAAATAAATATCATGAACATTGAATGCGGAAATACTTCATTTAAACTTTCATAAAATGTAACTTTCATCTTAAAACACAGACATGGACTTACGTGTTTTGAAAACATCCTTAAAATGACACAACAAAAGAATAAATAAACGTTTAAATTAAAAACATCGTATTCTAGCTCAAGTCTAAGAAAATAAATGCGACTACCCTATGTATGTGTTATGGTCTCAAGTTGCGATGTCGTCGAGCCATACATGAATGTCTTGCCTTAACCTCAAATAGAACTAACACTTGGCTTGAGTATTTAAAGAAATATTTACGAAGTGACCCGGGTTAAATGCAAACACATGCAGTTTCATGAATGGGACCTATCATAACAATATGTTTTCCTATGGCGGCTATCCTAACGGGTAGCTTGGATGGGTAATTAATTTCCTACACATGGCCCACACGTGCGAGTATGGACCCACCAGTCAGTTTGCACACCTTCTGCACTTGTTCTCGACCTCAATTAAGGTAACTAAGGTAGTTTTAATGCCATATTTCACAATTTCAAGTTGGATTCATGATTATTATTGTGAAATACAAACAAAAGCGAGAACGATCCAATAGAAACCGACGACCAGCCTAACATAGGACGCTTTTGAGGAGCGGGAGCTTACGTTAAATTAATTAGGGAGTACGCCAGCTAAGACCAACCAAGTAACTGGTCCTATCGTCGTTATGTTATAAAATGCATGTTGTATGTTGGCAGGTACTTGTGGTTCGCACGTGTCATAAATTGTATGTTAGACTGTTATGAATTAGTACGTAAATATTATGCAATGTGAATGCTATGCTATCTTTGGATGAATTGTTATGATTTGCGATGTTATGTGTTATGATATGCTTGGATTGCATTATGTGACTGTTATGATATTTAACGTGTGATATGCACGATATGAACTGTTATGTTTGAAAGCATGAAACCGTTACATTATGTTTTGTGAATTGCATGTATTGATATGGATGATATGAAAAATGATACATAGCATGAAATATAACCCATGTAGATGCATGAATGTTATGATACCTTATATAAGAAATGGTATGATGATAAAATGATAGCGTGAGTTATATTTAATAATGATGAAAATGGAAAAATGTTGGGACGTCATGCATTAATGTGACTCATGCATTGAGGGATAACCCTATTCCTTCACGATGGTAGGGACGCGTACACTACTAGGCAAGAGAACGACCATTATGTTTTACATAATGTTGCCGTGACGACTACTACTTCTAACAGGTGTTCGGCATAGAGAGCTCACAGAGTATGCTCGCCCGACAAGAAAAGGGCCTAGCGGTGTGTGAACCGACTGTTGGGTTCATACTCGCACATGTGGGTCGTGTCTAGGAAATGAATTACACATCCAGACTGCCCGTTAGGATAGTACCATAGGAAAATAGACAGTTTCAAATAGGTCCCATCATTACATTCGCATGTTTTTAAAATACTCAAGCCTCGTACTACTACATTTTTCAGATAAAGGCAAGGAGTCATTGTAAGGCTAACGGACGCATCACAATCTTGAGATCGTGGCACATGCATAGAATAGGTTTGAATTTCCTTTAGTTATATAGGTTAGTGTAGGTTGAATTGTATTTTCCATTTAATAGTATAGGTTAGTTTAAATTGAACTTTCATTTCATTTCATTTGTAGTATTGGTTGAGTTGTATTTTATTTTTGTATTGTTCCTTTTTGTATTTGTTTATTCCAAAGTAATAAATGAGGTATGAAATTGATGTTGAATTTATAAGGCCTAATCAAGTTAGTTCCAACCTTAAATGTTCAAGATTAAAAGTACCGTAGTGGCCTTAAGTTAAGTAGAGAAAGTTAAGGTAGTTACAGTACATCGATGGATATTCACACGACGTTCCTCGCCTAGTTCATGGCTAATAATCCAAGTGAAAGACTTTGAGAGGGTACCAAGTGGATACTAAAGTACCTTAAGGGTACTAAATTGAAGTGAATTCACGGTTGGTGAACTCTGAATGAACTCTCAATGGCTAAGGTCCTATTCGGCCACAGTTTGTCCCATTCTTGGAGCTATTGACCATTGAACACACGACCGGACTGATTTGAGCTCATTTTGTCCAATTCGTGGATTTTCAACATTGATTTGAGCTCATTTGTGTCCTACAACTTCATGGTACTAACAAGAAAGATCTCAAATTTTCCAGTTCTAGGTGAGAGCTTGGACTTAGTAATAATGGTGATCCTAGGTAGAGAGCGATCGGAAAAGAACACCAGATGCGCGTTTCTTGAGGTACATGAAGTTAAACACGACTAGCATTGATCAGTCAACCGACAGCCCAATTTTGACCATTCGACTATTGTTGATGTATTTTAGTCGTTTAGAGATTGATTCTCAATTTTGGTTTACTAGTTTTCTTGTTTGGACTTAATTTAGGACATGAATGAGAAGTTTAGAAGAATTCAGATTACAAGAAGGAAAATTGCGACCCTAAACAACTCAAATGCGATAAGTAATCATTCAAACTTTTCATCTAATAATACTTGTAGGAATCGATTAGGAATTGACTAAAGGAATCTTGAACATGTATGAAAGCAAATATTACTTGCACTTAAGTACAAGACTTAGTAAATAAAAATTTAGAACAGCTGAATATCTATTATTGTAGTAAGAGCTTCCACCCTTATGAGAAAACTCTAATTTGATTGGATTGAATTATTAAGACTTTGGTTAGAATGATTGTTCTTGACTATGATTCCTAAGTAGGTAAAGATGCTTGATATTGAATGCTAACATGCTTGTTAGGAGATTAAAGCTATATGTATGCTCGTATATAAACATCGATTGTCTTACATGTGAGCTAGATGTGAGCATGATAGAGGATTTAGCCATATAAGTTACTTTACATTGGTCTATGAGTCTCGATTGGTGTCATATGAGTATGATGTTTGGCTGTGATGCATGATAATGTATGTAATTTATATATTTCGATGTATGACGTACATGACAAATTGGATGCACTTAATGACGTTATGATGAGTATGATGATTGTATGATATTTATCTTAATAAATTATGTTTTCCATACTAAGCATGCTTTATCATGATGAGTGCCCTATTGCATCATGTCGATAGACCGACATAGGGCACAACCCTAAGAACATGAAAATGATATTAATATAAATATCTTCGAGCATGTGTTACTTAATGTAACAAAGAGATGAGACTAGAGAGTTGTGTCAGAAGAGAGGATAAGATGGAAATTAGAGGGACTTCATGTATGTTGTGTGTTTATAAGCACAGGGATACTTTTAATAGAGATTATGAGTGTGGACGCGCACAGTATGATGATGAGAGTGATCATGGGAAGCATGACACTAGGGGTTCTGCTAACCTTCGGAGGTCGCTACAGAGTAGCTTAATTAGAGAGGGTCCAGGAGGTGTGCGAAGTCTCTAGGGATTCACCTTCGCACGTGTGGGTCGTATGTCTAAGCATTACACATCCAAAGTAGTCAGAGACTAGAGGCTACTCCCAGATGAGGTAGAGATAGGTCCCATGAGCATGATTGCATATGTTTGACCCCTATAGTGGAGTCACTTACTGAGTATTCTTTGAAATACTTAGGCTGTATGTCATATCATTTTTTAGGTAAAGGCAAGATGCCCATGTACGGATGACAGTGACATCGAGAATAGAGACAGTGGTACGTGCATAGGATAGTCACATATTTAAATTCCTAGTCTTAGGTTAGAATAGAATATTGCATTTCATCACTTAAATTTATTTTATTATGTGAAAAATCATAAAAAGAAAGATGCATAGTATTTTTTTTAAAAAAAAACTCAAAAAAACGAGATGACTACCATACAAACTGACTAGAATTATTGGTTAATCGATACCGAGTTGATCTATGTGTCTAATAGATCGATCCATAGTTTCAATTTTAATTTTTGCATTAATTAGGATACTAATTTTATAATCCCTATTTCAAAAAATGATTTGGTTTCTAATAATTGTCCCTTCAATGCATTGCAACCCATGTGCTACATCACCATCATGTTTTATTGTATAATTTAATTAATTTAATTATATGATGAATATAAGATTATCCATTTCTTTAATTTCTTTATTTATTTTTAAAATCCAATGTATTGTTCCCTTGTTTTAAATATTTTATTTTAATTTTTAAATCTCTGTTTTATTATTTTTTAATAAATTGTTCAACAAAAACTTGTTGTACAGTTATTTACATGACAAGTGGAAAAGGTAAGTATTTAAGATTTTTATTTTATTTTAATACGTTCCTTATTTATGTAGATGGATGATTTTTATCAAAATTTTAAGGAAAAGTATATAACTTTGAAAGTTAGTGCAACAGCTCGAGGGGGCGGGTCACCACTAGTTGTTATTGTCCCCTCTTTAATTAATGTGAGATCTCCCAATCCATCCACTTAGGGGCCCAACGTCTAACGTCTTCGTTAACACACCGCCTGATATTTGGCTCTGATA